TTACCTAAATAATTAAACTTTACGATTGATTCAAAGTCAGTCAATAACAGAAATGTATGAAATGAGGACAATTGAACGCCTTTAAGCTTAGTATTGGTAATAAAGACTCCCTCGATATACGTGAAACTTTCAAGACACTAAAAGGCCGTTTGACTGATCTGACTTATTTATTCAGTCTTTTATTAAGTAATCAAACATTGGTTTCCATGATCCACATTTGGATTTAATTTTTGCCTTGACTTTAAAAAATGCCAAGGCTCACCGATGAATGCAGTGGCGTAGTCTCTTTCAACCAAACATGATTCATAAACAGATTAGATACCAGAATTAATGATACTAAACGGCGTATGATTAATGATATTAAACAATTCCAATTTTAGATCTGCCAAGAAAAGCTTCACTGATTGATAGATTGGACTGGACATAAGTAAGAGGGAGAAAAGTGACATTTCTGTTTGTTAAGAGGATGAGCTACATTTACAAGTGTGTCACTGATGAAAAATAAGCTAACAATAGCCATTTTAAGATATCGAACAGTAATCAAGGTAAACTGGACAAAACAAGAACAAATTAAGGAAACTCCAAAATTTTGGATGAATCAAATGATTATTTTTTATGGAATATTGCGGTTGATACTGTCAAAGATGAGACGTCTGGCATCAATTTTATCGGTAAGAACACTTTTTTGAGACTCTTTGCAAGTGTAATATAAATATTCAACAAATTATGTTAAACCGAAGTTCAAATTATCACTTTATTTCCGCTATCAATTTAAGCGAACTGCAAAATGTGTTTATATTTTGTCGATTCGGTTAAGATTTTCAGGTTTTGTCGCTATTGTCAATAACCTGATCTGAGTCGCGTTAATATTATTATTGTCAGTATTAAAAAAGCTAGGAGTTCCTATACATAACTCACCGTCTATTCAAGTGCTTTCTGTAAATCTTCTGTGAATATTCGATTTCCGTCTCTTGGAATCCCAAGGCGATTTCCCAAATTTAATTCTGGCTTTGTACTCACCAAATTTGGAAGCATAAAATTACAGCAAGTTTCTGCCTACGGGACACGATGATATATTTTACCCGTGAAAACACTTTCACAGATATTTCAGTAATTGTTAGTTCGAATTTACAAAGAGATTTTCAAACTCAATATTTTTGTGGCTAAGCACTATCAAAACATAGCTTCCACGCCATGAATAACCTGGACAATTTCAAATAGCCAGCCTTATTGTCTGCCAATCGCCAAAACTAAGTTTATAGAAATTTTCTGGAAATTTCGGTATGTTATCTGTAAGCCTTCAATAAAGAGCTCTTCAATTCAGGCTGTAAATTTTCGAAGAAAATACAGAGATTGTTCTTTGTGATAAAGATCTTCAAACTGATACCCTATAGTGAATAGCTACCGTGAATAAGCGAAAAAGAAATCCCAAATCCAGATCTGATATGTAAGATCGATTCCTCAGTTGTTGTGGAATCATCTAATCTTACATGAATCTTACGAGAAACTTATTCAAACAAGGAAATTCTGTGATTGACTCACTTGTAGAGTGTTGGTATGTACGAAACCTGCTTCTTTTAATCTCGCTTTACTGAAATTATGCTTATTAATACAAAGTTTCATGTTATGTATTCTTTCTTCTCGTTTCTTTTATTAAAACAGATCACTAGATGAGGAATGAAAACATGGTAAACAGCTGAGGTAAATCATATGTGAGCTGCACGTACTCTTATCTCCTTACGCCCATAGAGTATATGTCTGTTTTTTCCCAAACATACTCCAATACACAGATCAGAGACGCGTAGAAATGACTGTTCAATACACAGGTATATTGTCAATAAGCACTAGTGTAGTAGGAAACTTGGGGGAACAGTAATCCTCTACAATGAACTCAAACTCTTTGTCTCTTTAAACTGTTTTAATGTGGATAACTTGTTGCTCAACTTTTCACAATCAAGGCTAGCAGTATCTCTCTGACAAGACCTAGTTACAGCTCCTTTTATCTTGACTGAATCTGAAGGCTGCCAATCTTACTCAAACTAAAATAATCTTACATCAGTAAAAATTCGATTGGCTATAAGAATTATTAACATATTTTCCTTCGAGGTTGTGTCGTAATAGGAAAATCAGTTAAAACTCCAAAATTCACTTTTGTCCAACAGTTGTCCAGTCAAAACAAAACAGTCAGAGAGACACAAAAATTACAAGGAATGTTTACATGAATGAAAATCACATATGTACAATATCGTTACTCTAAAATGTACAATTTGTCAATTCGCGTACAGTGCTTAAGTTGTCGTTTAAAAGCTTCTTGTTGGAATATCGTACAATGGTAATTAGTCCCGCCTTTTTTCATTTATTAACTAAAAGATTGTTTACAATCCCTAATCAAAAATCAATTAGCAAGATATTTACATTGCGAAAGCCTTTAAACAAAGATATCACTCGTTACAACTTTTAGCAAGTAAATTGAACTAGGCAGTAACAAAAGCTTGTTTATTACAACGAGTTAACTAAGATAGTCTGTTGGACAAAGTATTCTTTTGGAAGCGCACTGAAGTTTCGATCAAACCACTAAATACGCGAAAGATAGTAAAAATAGGAATGCTTAGGAAAAGACAACTTGGTAAGGTCAAGCTTCTGAAGATTTAGGAAAAATCAATTAAGCCAATTAATGTAAGATAACAAACAAATGTCGTTAAATTTACCAGAACTAATTAGATTAAGAACCTCTGTGTGGGTTCAGTTTAAACAAAAAGCATCATTTCTTAATTAAATAGTGGCACGTGTACAAAGAAAATCGACGTCCAAAAGAGCATCTTTACAGAGAAAGGCCAAACCTTATTAACGAAAAACAAATAGCTTTTGTAAGCTCAGTACATTCTAGTAGAACGTATTTATATAACAATTCAAAACACTCTACTCAGTGATAATAATAATTAAAATATTTTAAAATAGCAATGCTTGATGATTCATTAACGTTCCTTATTCGATAAAGGTATTTTCATTTTGGTAAAAACTTATACCCAAAAATATCGTTTTACACTAGCCATCATTTGCCACGTTATAGAGAGGATTTTCAGTGTCCAATGACCAGTATAAAACTTGATTCATGTTTAGCTTCTTTACCGAACAACAGTAAGTACGACTAAGAAATGTCTTATTTGGATATACTGCCGGTTGTGTTAACTTAATAATAATAATAATAATAATAATAATAGTAATAAATTTTTTTCTATAGCGTCAATATCACTAGCTGTTCTAGGCGCTTTACGATATTACCAGTAGATTCACGATCCAAATATTATGTTCTTATCTCACTAATATCAGTTAAATGGAAACGACATATCTTGCATATCTTTTTAATAATGTCTTCCATATCAGCTCTGGGATCGACTATCACTCCAAGATTACGAACAGACGAGGGCGGTTGAATAGTTTCACCCCCGACACGAACAAATTACAATGAAGGACTGTGATGATAAAGTGAACTGAGTAGAAGCAGCTCGTTTTTTTCCTCATTTAGTTTAAGACCGTTAAGAATTATCCAATTGTTGATTTCCTGTACACATATTTCAGTGCTAGACTTTGCTGAGAAGAGAAGACCTGTGCTTGATTTATTCTGGATTGAGAAATAGACAAAGAAAATTGTACTTCTTTTAAGTTTTCAGTAATATAGTTTAGAAAATCAAATCCTAATTTAAAAAACGACAGCGTTTGGATTATGCTAAGATTCAGTTTTGCAAACTGTTCTCAATCTCTCACTGCACAAAAAGGTGATGCGCTGACAGACATCCTCATAAAGCTACAACACCGCATAAAAAGATTGCCGGGTGGTGTAAGGACAAAATTTAGCTATATTAAGGGATAGAACCTACACGTAATAAAATTATAATAAATGTAAAAAAAAATGGTGTTGTGGTTGGCAGACTCTCGGGTATGGAACAAAAACATGATCTGCAAAGGAACCCTGCAGTTACTGAAAAATACAAAGCACGAATTTCTTCATGGCAAGGTAGTAAAAGAACCAATCAAAATCCTCAACGTCTTTTACGCACGAAACGTAATTGAAGCCCTATTTCTTTTAAACTCGTTTAAAAACGTGAAAAGTTAAGTAATTATTGTAAGAGAGATAAATTAAGCGGTCGCGATCATCATTGCTATCATTTGGCTTTGACAATCCTTAAGCGAAGGTAAGTTAAGTTCTAAACACGCTGTAAATAACGCTAAACGATCTGAAATTTGGCATGAAAAGAGTCGTTTCTTTTATTCTAAAAATATAGTCTTGGAGATTCCATAGCATTCAAGCCGTTCATTTTTTTCGAGGCATGTCTTAAGTACGGACTGAAATATAATAGTGTTAACCATATTTATTGGGCTTCTATTTAAAATAATCCAAAATACTTGTAATCCAACTTTTAGTGCACAATCAAGTTAAAGGACGTTGATGATGCGATCACAAGTTGAACTGTCAACGATGTTATTTGTAGTGATTTTATCGCTCAAGGCTGCTTTCTGTTCTGCTAAGGACAAAAAACCACCAGACACCAAGGTAACTGCATTTATACTCATGGCCACTGCACATGGATTTGATTATAGTTGAATAATGTCAGTACGTTATGGAAAAAAATAGGTATAAAAAAATTCAAACACAAACTAAAGGTGGTGTGACTACTTGTAGAACATCACAAAAAAACGATATTTTGAAAAGAGAGAAATTATTTCACGTTTATATCAATTAAAAGTAACCTTGTTACTAACGTGGTAGAAATGTATATCCTCTTTGGTGAAAAAAATGAGTTTCTTTTATCACAATTAACTATTTCATGAAAGAAATCCAACTTCAAACTTGCAAAATTAAGTAACTACTTCCTCACCTGGATTGAAACGCTAAATGACAGATAAAATTGTCAAGAGCTAAAGGCATTTTGTCACCGACTTTTCTTTATTTGACAGCCTGTTTCATCTTGTCCATCTTGTAATGGCGGACAAACCGGGATATGTGGACATACATGACATGCGTCCCAGGAGCCCCTGGGGCAACTGGTCGTGATGGAGCCAAAGGAGACCTGGGCAGCCCGGGGAAAACTGGGACCCAGGGACCACGTGGGGCTGATGGAAAAAAAGGAGCAAAGGGGGAGCCTGGGAACCCGGGTTTCTCCGGACAAAAAGGAGAGCGAGGAGACAAAGGCGACAGTGGAACGCCACGACTGGCTTCACACATGAACTGGAAGGAGTGTGCTTGGAAAAAGGGAGACGACAAAGATTCAGGACTGATATATGTAAGTGAGAAATATGCCTGTGTACTGATAAGAACAACAATACTGTTGATAAATTTCTCAAAACGAAGAATTCATCAATATAATTAACTTTCGTGGTGCCATAGATGACATTTTTAAAATATTTTCTTTCTTTCTTTCTTGCATTTTTTTGTTCAGAACTGTGATTTTGTCAAGAAATACCCTGACACCTCCCTCCATGTCTACTATGCTGGTAATATCGGGATTTACAACTGTGCCTTATGCTGTAGTCGCTGGTATTTCAGCTTTAATGGGGCCGAGTGCAGCTCTCCAGGAACTATTGACGGTGCTTTCTTCATGCGAACAAGAGGAAACCACAATTGTCACCGTCACCGACATATTGAAGGTCACTACAATAACATTCAAAAAGGAAAGGTGCGAGTGGGATTCTGGGTTGGAAAGTGCGTAACAGGCCATAAGCTCGCTGATGCCTACATTGGTTGGCATTCAATGAATCGTATCTTCATTGAGGAAGTACCGAAAGCTCAGCAGTAAGCACGTGTCATACGATGAGCTGGACGTTAGACTTGAGTCATGATGTAATGAGGTTTCTAAAGCAACGGTTGTTTTCAAGTCTGTCAGATAAAGAATAAAGTCCAGAAAAATCGATCCTCTGTTATTTTGGTTCACACTTGTCTCACTTATTTTCCTAATGGAGTCTTAAAAAAACCGTGCCTTTCGTGGGATTATAAACTGCCTTTTTCTTCAACTCCCCTAATTCGTCCACCTGGTCATTATTCCATTGCGTCACCACCAGAATTTTATCGGTCAATTGCAGTGAGATGATATTAAAATCTTAGATCCTTATCTCATACTTGATTCATTCAAAGGGAAAACGAAGCATAAATGTTCTTTTTTTTTCTGTTAATTTTTCCACAGCACGACACTTTAAATATCCATGCATTCTTCGCTACGTTTTGAACTCGCATCTCAACCTTATATGGCGAACAACTATTCACTGTGGCATATGTAGGTTTGGGAAGGGCAAGCGCTGTACACAAAAACACATAATTGTGTAGTGTAAAACATAAAACAACGCAACGGCGAAAGAAAATGTTGATCTTTCATCGTACATACTTTTATGCCTGAATCATAATTTTCGCTCTTTTGTTGATTTTTAATCTATTTCTTACAGTAAAGAGGAAGTGAGCTACATTTAAACCATAGAGCGGTTTCTTATGACGTCAAGGCGGCCATATTGGTATACAAAAAAAATTAAAAATGGTGCCTGTGGGGATTGAACTCTTTTCTTATGTAACAAAAAATCTTTTCCTCCAAGACATTTGCATAGCTGCTGACCACGTGAGTGATAACGATCCAAATGTAAAGGATATGAATAACTGGGGTGCTAACTTGTTTAGTAAATGTCACCTCAACGCCCTTCCCCCCCCCCCCCCTTTGTACGCTGTGCAAACACCATTTGCAGTCAAGGACGAAACACTCTAGATAGTTGGATGAAACAATCGTCGGTGACGTATCCGGGACGACCGGCCAGGGAACTCACAACATCGCTAGGAACACATGACCCGGAGCGAATTGGCTGCGCTTCCTTATAAGGCCAGTAGTCACCTTGCCCTTCATGGATATCTTTCAATTCACCTCTCCGAAACTCTACACCCCCTTTGTTCAGAAGGTCGATAACGCTATCCACTAGATAAATCGACATCCTATGGATTATAAACGCAGTTGGTTTCACCAATACTTATCCGCTAGATAGTGATTTATCCGGTGGACGGAGCTATTAAACGTTTGAACAATCGTCGGGGCGCCATAATGTTAAGTTTATAGTCAATTAAAACATTCATGCTGATCTGTTTCTCTATATGATCTGTCAGATAATAGACGATAGACCCTGTTAGATGCATTTGCAAATATGATTAGATTTAATTTAATGCTCCCGTTGCTTTCTAATGGTAAATTTCCTCTTTTTTTCTCTTTAAACTAGATCCATCTTGAACACTAACAGTCCTTAGCTTCAGTTCACAACTGTCAAATCAACTTCCTTAATTTTCAGCGCATTTTGTCAGTTACTAATTTCCTCACCATATAGTGCATAAAAGTATAGTGAAAACCAGCGAAAGTGGAAACCAAGAATAGAAGGTCTAGACAGGCGAAATCGCGAGTGAAGCAAATGATGAATTTCCTTTGTTTGTAATAATGTTACGATTAGTTTGCCCTTGAGCGAAACTGACAACAATATGTGTCAAGTCTGTTAAACGATTAGTTCGCCCTCGAGGGAAACTGACAAAAATATGTGTCAAGTTTGTCAACGGTTGACAGACCTGACACATTGTTGTCAGTTTCCCTCAAGGGCAAACTAATCGTAACGTGTTTCGATCGATCGGTTGTCGCTCCATGCAGTAATGTACCAGCATGATTTTAAAACATGCAATAAGAAAATTTTGCCGTGACACTAATGGAGCGACGCTTTTTATATGTATATTTTGTTGTTCTGCTTTATATAAAGCTGAAGGTATAGTAACCCAGAAGATACAAACAGAATGATATCCGACCTTCAGTTATAAACCATTTGGTTCTCGGGTTGGAGCAGTCTGCTGTGCCTATAATCAGCACTGATTACGTACTACAAACGTGGGATTTTTTTTATTGTTTTAAGAAACGATCTTACAAAACTCACCAGAGTGTACGTTAACAACATGGGATGCCTGTGGTCTAAAAAATACACTAACTTGTGAGTAAATATCTCGCTTTCTGTTTCATCTACGTGACGCAAATTAATCTCCCAAGAAAGAAAGCGTGATATATGGCTTTCTGCTATTGGAAAAATCAGAATATAACAAGGAATCTGAGATAGCGAACAAGGTGTACTGACGTATTATAAACTGGGCCGCGTCACGCGAAAAAGGGCCCGGACGACATATATGTTACTGATCTTTGTTTTTCTTGAAATTTGTGGCCTTTAAGGGTAGAGAAGTATCACAGATATGGAAATATTCATGCTGCAAGAGTTAAAGTGCGAAAAATCGACCTTAGGAAGGGCGCGCTCACGTAGGATTCCGCGCATGATTTTCCGCCATGTTGGACTCTCTTAACTTCAAATTTCAAGCGAAAGACTAGGCCCACGATTTCAGTTCTAAAGCAGAAAATTATTTGATTGCCCATGAGGAAGTTAAATAAGTCTAGGACTGTAGCTAGGCTGGGTACTTTCTTGACAAGTAAGAGTTTCTCGATGGGTGAATTATTCAAATCTTTCCGCGACACCACCAGACTGAGAAAACATCACCAGCGGCGAAAGACTGGGACTGGGTGGAAGTGATAAACTACGCTATTTGAATATAATGGAAATATCTATGAGCAATTTCGAGCTGTTTCTTTCCTTCCAGCGTGGCTTTTGTGGTTCATTTATCGCTGTTCACCACTGTGCAGTGAGGTTCTGTACTTCAAAGCATTCTACAGCATTCTAGAATCAAAAATCGGTAAAGAGGGAAGCGACAAAACAATCAAAACAAACCACTCGAGCGGCAAGTTGTTGAAATGCTCTGCAGTTTATTCCAACAGCTCTACACAAGATTGCTCACATACAGGAAATCATTAGAGATACAGGTAGGCAAAACTGTTTCCGTTTGAATCACCTTTAGCCCTCGGCTTCGTACTGTTAACATTACAATCATGAAATGAATTCCTCTTGTGTATACCCAAAGAAACATTCAAAACTGATTTTTTTATGTCTTGGCTCTAAATTCTGAGTACATTTGCTTCTTTTAAAGCAAACTGAGTAGCCACCTCACTATGTTTTGGTGTTATTTTTATCACATGTACAAGAACTATTTTGACCAGTGCTATACAGTTTCGAGTTTAATATATTTTTTTGCCAAAAACTTAGTTACTGGGACCAAATGAGCATATTGAGTATTTTAATGGCTTAAAAAAGAATCAAAGAAAGACTATCGTACGCGTCAACTCGTGGGAATGTTGTTTAGAAAATAATCAAATGGTTATCAATTCCGGTTTTCCCACATTAAATTGTAAGAAATGACAGAAATTCAGATTGTTTATCCATATATTAAATACATTATCTTTTCACTGGAAACACAATACTTTTCTTGCTGTTTATTGCACTTTATTAAATAAGAGTTATATATTTAGGTATATATTTAAAGAAAAACAACAAAACAAGTAAGCAAAAAAAGACCAAACAAACCAAAACGGGAAAAAAAAGAAAGAAAAAAAGAGGGGAGAAAGAAAGCAATGAGCAGCACTCGAACCCTGCACCTTCGACTCGTAGCGACTTTACCTAACCACTACACCACTAAGGCTGATGACGTCATCTCGGCGAGAAGTTTTTTATTTAATGCTTTTTCCACGGAAACTCCGCCAGCAAACGCCGTTAAAGATGATCGAGCCGCGTGAAACGGCGCTACTGACAGTTAAAAAACAACAACAACAAAAACAGAACGCATTTCATGGGAACATGAATGAAAGAACATACACTGTATGCTTAACAAAGCCGATACACCTCGTCTGCGAAGTACAATGCAAAACATATGTTTTCTTATCTCGATTTCAGCTGTTACTTTGAAGCTAATCAGTAACATGAGAGGACACAGAGGCTTTTTACTGGAAGTACCATCGCACGCAGGGAAGTTTTCTCCGCGGGCAGCTAATCCGACTTAATCCCATTTAATGTGTCGGGCTGCTCGAAAGTGCGAAAATTTTCTTGTCGTGTATTAGATTTCAGATACATTTTCTTAATCTTCATTTCGCGCCAGAATAAATTAGTTTGCGCGCAAAGGGCTCCTAAAAAAATCACAAGGTTTCTCCCACTTCGAGGCCACCTTCTGGAGATACGCCGGCTTGGTAGCCGGAATACATTGCCGAGGCGAAGATCTGGCATTTTTTCCTCCTCGTCGTCTTTTCTTCGCGACAAATGTTTATATTTGTAGTGAGAATGCATCGCATATCAGTGGTTTTTACTTCATGTGGCTTGCTACTTCTGAAAGAAGAGTGCCGGATTTCATCGTTTTGTTCATGTTTATTAGTGTTGGCAAATGTAAGGTAAATGAACCGACCACGTAAGGTAAGAATTGAAGTTTTAAATTTGTTACTCGGCGAAAAATCGTGGAATTGGAATTCGTGAAACTCGTGAGTATTACCTCTGTTACCTAATGTCATGCGATGACTCCTCGCTTTTTCGATGCGTAAAACGGATACAAACGTTACATTTCTTTCGCAAAGTGAAGTATAATTTACTTAACGAGACCATTTGACGACTATTTCTCGTTACATGCTTTATTCATTATATTTGCTTGAGTTATTCAGGCTACATGCCAGGAGTTTGATGACAATGTTTGTGTGCTATAATTATGCTGATAAGTTTTTGCACCTTTATATTGAAACTCATGTAAGCCAAACGTTTGTTAACTCTAGCAAAACACTCTTCTATTATGGAGGAACTTTTAACGTCTTTCGGGGCCCTAATATGGTGTCAGATTTTTAGGGGAAACAAAGCTTGATTTTTGGCCAAACAGACTATA